CTTCATGCAGAAGTCATAGACTCGATCAGTTGTCTTAACAGTATATGTTAGCAAAGAGTTCAAATATAGAGAAACAAGACTGGTCACTGCCAGGAATGGGAGATATATTTTCTTCCTCATCGAATAGGGACTTACTACTTTATACTGCTCTCTCCCACACCTACACATATACAATATTATCCGACCCCTCTGATAAAATACAATGTGGGTAATTATTTAACAAAGCCCAATGCTCCCCATGGAAATATGACTCAGAGCCAGATATAGGTTTACTGGTCAGTAACTGGCAACAACTTGAATATTTGGGTGGGAAACTGTCTCCCAAGCCTGACAAAATCACAAGTCTAGTACCACATTTGTACCCTAAGAACTGGACAATCCTATTAGTGGGTATTAATATACTGTACTGAGATGTCAAAGACTGCTGCTGGTGTTACACACATCATCTGATGATCAGACTCGGCTGACTCATATACAAAAAATCCTTGAAAGCTACCTGCAAACATAATCTCTTTCTTAATGTCTTTTTGCAAGGAACCGTGTCCCTTTTCCAATATTGATACAAAAACAAAACAATGAAAACCCAATACCATGTAACTTTGATTTTCAAAAAGAGCTCTTGTCATTTGACATGGAAGTGTACAACAAGTCTTAATGTGTGAGAAAACCAGAGGGCAAGTAGCCAATACCTTTTCATGTCCAATCATAGAATTGAACCCTGGCTTCTTATGAAAAGCAAGTGCGATACCCACTAACATTACCGACTACTCAGACATCATATGCTTCTATGGGAAACACCTGTGATTTGTACTTTAACCTACCAGGTAATGATATTTGCCCCTATGGGAAAACACCTGTGATTTGTACTTTAACCTAATGATATTTGCCCCTATGGGAAAAATCTGTGATTTATATTTCATGCTTATGATACATACCCTATAAAAAACCACCTGTGGCTTGTACTTTAGCCTAATGATATATGCTCCTATGGGAAACACCTGTGATTTGTACTTTAGCCTAATGATATACAGTAAAACCCCCACTAACTTGAACTCGTAGGGTCCAGATCAATAGTTTGAGGAATACATGGTATTCGACAAAACCGAGGTTCGACCGACATCGTCATATTTTAATCAGGTGGGACTACAGACAGTATGAGCACTGTAAGTATCACTGATAGTAGATGATAGAAGGTTTTGAGTGGTCGGGGATAAATCAGAGTTTGAGGAATACTTGGTATTTGAGCAATGTCTGTTTGAGTAATCATAGGTTAATTTACAAAGAACATATATAAGAACACGGTCGGGACCAAGCAAACTATTCGAGGACTAGGGGGGTATCCCAGTTATGCGAGTTCGAGTAAGTTGGGTTTTACTGTATGCCCCTATGGGAAACACCCGTATGCTTAGCAAGAAAATTACAGCTATTAAAAGATTTGGAAGGGAAAATACTCCTACATTTAAATCACAGGTATAATGTGTAATGAAAAATACAACTTTAACTCTAAAACAGATCACAGGTGTAATATGTAAGGGAGCATATAACCTTAAGTCTAACAAAAATCACAGGTGTTATGAGTAAGGTAACATACAACCTTAACTCTAACACAAATAACAGTTATAATACCTTCATGGGAGGTAACTCCAAGAAAAAATCATGGAAATAATTTGTCAAATAGTACATACTATTAAAGGGAGATAACTCTAATACCAAACTCAATTTTATTCCTCTATCCAACGCTGTTTATTATCAATACTACCATTGAGATTAATTTGATCACAAAAAATCCATGACATATTTTTGAGACAGACTTAATTCAGCGAAAAATTGAAGTTGTAACCAAATTTGTTACATCTATTGAAAGTCAATAATGACGTAAGCTGTACATAATGTAAGCCGAGGCCCGTAGGAAGTACAAACACTCTACTTACAGCTGCATCCAGGTACAACATCACTGAAACATTAATCCTTTTATTTCCCGTTCTGTATACGCTGGGGTATACAAATAGGTTTTCTACGGTGAAGCATTATAATATTTTATGATCAAGGGAGATAATGCCACTAAAACGGATGCGAGACCGTCTGTCGTTTTTCTTAGATATCTAATGATACTTTTGCTGTGACGATCCCAAGAGAGAACATGAATGGATTGATAAGCTGTGAATTGGTCACTGGAGTACTGACGGAGGTCATCTCAAAATGGTACACATAAATGACCCTAATAAAGAGGAACTACCTCGTCACAGAAACAAGATTGGTGATAAATCGATTTCAGGTGAATTGGTAGTAAATAGATATAAATGGTACTTTCTTTGTTTACGATGATGAAGCTACACCAAAAACATGTGTCTTGTCTCAAACATCCGTCAGGTAACACATATAGTGCTACTATAGCTCAGATATCTAATCCTCAGGTAACACATATAGTGCTACTATAGCTCAGATGTCTAATCCCTCAGGTAACACACATAGTACTACTATAGCTCAGATATCTAATCCCTCAGGTAACACACATAGTGCTACTATAGCTCAGATGTCTAATCCCTCAGGTAACACATATAGTGCTACTATAGCCCAGATGTCTAATCCTCAGGTAACACATATAGTGCTACTATAACTCAGATGTCTAATCCCTCAGGTAACACACATAGTGCTACCATAGCTCAGATGTCTAATCCCTCAGGTAACACACATAGTACTACTATAGCTCAGATATCTAATACCTCAGGTAACACACATAGTGCTACTATAGCTCAGATGTCCAATCCCTCAGATAACACATATAGTGCTGTTATAGCTCAGATGTCTAATCCCTCAGGTAACACATATAGTGCTACTATAGCTCAGATATCTAATCCTCAGGTAACACATATAGTGCTACTATAGCTCAGATGTCTAATCCCTCAGATAACACATATAGTGCTGTTATAGCTCAGATGTCTAATCCCTCAGGTAACACATATAGTGCTGCTATTGCTCAGATGTCTAATCCCTCAGATAACACATATAGTGCTGCTATAGCTCAGATGTATAATCCCTCAGGTAACACATATAATGCTACTATAGCTCAGATTTCTAATCCCTCAGGTAACACATATAGTGCTGCTAGAGCTCAGATGTCTAATCCCTCAGGTAACACAAACAGTGCTACAATAGGTCAGATGTCTAATCCCTCAGGTAACACATATAGTGCTACTATCGCTCAGATGTCTAATCCCTCAGGTAACACATATAGTGCTGCTATTGCTCAGATGTCTAATCCCTCAGATAACACATATAGTGCTGTTATAGCTCAGATGTCTAATCCCTCAGGTAACACAAACAGTGCTACAATAGCTCAGATGTCTAATCCCTCAGGTAACACATATAATGCTACTATAGCTCAGATGTCTAATCCCTCAGGTAACACATACAGTGCTACTATAGCTCAGATGTCTAATCCCTCAGGTAACACAAACAGTGCTACTATAGCTCAGATGTCTAAATGAAAACATTTTATGTTTACCATTTTCCAGCTCAAAATTTAACCTTTGGTTTATATGTAGCCAGGTATGTGAATTCCCCCCCCCCCCCCCCATCAGTATGATATTAGGATTTTACAAAGAAATCTGGTTACATTTTATGCTTAAAACTGACTCTTACATGTAGTTTGTATTGCTTGTATTTGAGAGCTAAATCAATCAATTTTCAGAGCAGACAGATTAACCTTCATGATTCAAAAATAGTAATCAAGACTCGGACAACAAACTTTCAGAATTACTGACAGAATTTCCACCCTTGAGCTATGTTTCACTATTTTCACCACTTTGAGAAATCATGAAATCACACAGCATGTCATCCATCGTGTATACGTGGTTCCTACTCAACAATGTCTGGGTAGTTCTTGCAGCTCCTGCCTAAATGTTTGGACTAACAATTACCATTATTTTTTTCTTGACAGCCCATGTTTCTGCCACATTTCCCTCTACAAATAAGGCCTTCTCATTCAATTCAAAGTGTTGCTTTGTCCTATTCAACCTTGATAAAATGCATGTGTGATTCTGATTTACAATTACAGTACTGAAAACCATTAACGGAAAAATTATCGTTTTATGAAATATCTTAATTTAACTTAAAAAATTGTACAGGTGTAATTTAAACCTCGAAATTATAATGATTAAGCCTAATAATAACAAGCTTGCAGCTTTGAATCTTCATATTACTTATTTCAAAAAAATTCTATATAAAGAGTAGATTTTTTAAGGTCACACTAAAATGACTTTTAAGTGAACAATTTTCAATAGAATTGTTTAAGTAGGGCCAATTGTTGTGGAACGGTCATGATTAGACAATCACACTATCTAATACACTATAAATAATACGGATGCAATTCATGCATATGTTTAAAAATCTGCACATAAAAATTATCCTGGTTGTGTCGTTTTGGCGCATTAAAGCTTTCACATTTTAACTGACTAAATTAAAAAGGTTATAAAAAAAAATGAGACGGAAAAACAGACCAGTCTATCTGTAACTTTGCCAAATACATCTATAGAGTATTATGTAAACGTTTGTATTACATAGTAGTCTAGTGGTAGGACGCCGGGCTCGTGACCGAAGGGTTGCGGGTTCGAGTCACGGCACTGTATGTGTTGTATCATTGAGCTAGTTACTTTATCCCGCTTGTTCCAGTCTAATAAACTGTAAATGAGTACGTGGTTGGGCAGTGCTAGAATTGATGAATGCTTGCTGTGAGCGCCAAAATGGCAGCTTTGTCTGTATGCTCCCCAGGGAGTTGAGAAAGATGAAGGCTGGTTGCAAAGGTCCTATAACCACGGATAATAATTTGTGAACCGCTTAGAGATGACCTAAGAACTAGGTTGTGATAAAGCATTATATAAAAACCTCAAATTATTATCACTATTATTATTGTGTAATAAAGGGAGGTAATCATAAAATGCTATAAAAAGGGGAAGTAACTGTAGGTTAGTTATGTTATGTGGTGCTGTAGTTAGGCCTACCTGTCGCTGTCTAATGGGCTCGCAGATCTACTGTCAGAGCTTGAACTGGGTGAACGCCGGCGGCGCCGTTTCTTGGATCTTTTCTGGGAATGTGAAGACTCACTGCAGAGAAAATAAAAATCTTCTTGTATTAGTAACACAAAAAAGACAGTTATATGAACTTCCCATTCTGAAAATGCTGGCTTTAAACTTGATAACCCTTAATACATATGTAAAGATCGATAACGTTTCTAAGAAATAATTTAATTTCTGTGACATTAACAGAGAGGTATACAGAGGATGCAGACTTTTCAGGGTGAATAGCTGGAGTAAGGTATCCACTTACCCGGGTATTGAACAGACTGTAGCAAATGCTTTCTGTCTTTTTGTTTAAATCTCGTTTACTGTCAGAGAAACAGGATTCAAGTAGCACCAAATAGTATACACTGTTTGTTAATCCCCAAGTAATTTACACAGAAAAACAGGGCAGGATATCTTTCTCTGGTACTGATGATAAATTTATGGTCCGATACAGTTACAGTTTTCTATGTTTTCATCAAACCAGGGTGGAAACTCGGCTTGTTTTTGTTTTCCTTGGTGTATTATCTATTATCCACTAAACTATACAATATTCTTGGTCCCACATTAAAGCTAATACATTCATTCTGTCATAAAACATAGACAAGACTTTCAATCAGAAAAAAATATCAATTCAATTCCCTTCCTATGGAATAATAAAATAAATAAATGAATCTGTTACAAATTGGCCTTGAGAGTTCAGACTTAAAACTATTGGTGGCCTTGAGAGTTCAGACTTAAACTATTGGTGGCCTTGAGAGTTCAGACTTAAACTATTGGTGGCCTTGAAAGTTCAGACTTAAACTATTGGTGGCCTTGAAAGTTCAGACTTAAACTATTGGTGGCCTTGAGAGTTCAGACTTAAACAATTGGTGGCCTTGAGAGTAAAGACTTAAACAATTGGTGGCCTTGAAAGTTCAGACTTAAACTATTGGTGGCCTTGAAAGTTCAGACTTAAACTATTGGTGGCCTCAGTAGCTCTTCCATTGCTTCCATCAGTTTAGTATTCCAGTGACCTTGAGTAATGAAAAACTCACAAAATGAACCACATTCTTATTTAGAAAGAAAAATAAATAAAAAATAAAGTAGTTTAAGGGTTTTCCATGGACATTGCCTGACTGCAATAAATTATAGGCAACACCGACACTGTTGTTTCTTTGCATTCTTGTTTTATTAAAGCAGTAATGTTATTTGAACGCAGGCGTCTTACAACTCAAAACACGAAGGTTGAGAGTCTTTGTGGGTGGAATGAGCTTTAACGTTTAATGTTAAACCATTCAACTTACCTGAAGGTTAACTCTTCAAGGTTATGCACAGGGAATATAAAAATCCACGCTTGTTATAATATAAACTGTTAGGTCAGTCATTGTAGTATTTAACATCCGATTAAAATAGAAGTAAATTTTTCCCAATTTTCACAATGACTGATATTTCTATGACAACAGAAAAACCTACAAAGATCTAACTTTAGTGTTCTCAACTCCTCTCTCTATGGAATCATAAAAATAAATAAAAAATGTCCAACCAACTTTGAACTGGTGTACCTAACTATTACAAAACATTAAACACCCCAGGAGGCTTAAAAGCATTATCTTGTAAAAGATAATGACTTCTAATGCAATTTTATAGACTGAAATTACAATAGTGATGACGACAGCAACTTAAGTTCATGTTTGATTGAATAAAACATGATATATGTATCACATTTACATACATGACTGATATACAGCCAGCACCAACATAAAAACATAGTCACCCTATACTACACTGTCACCCTATAATACACTGACACCCTATAATACACAGTCACCCTATAATACACAGACACCCTATAATACACAGTCACCCTATACTACAAAGTCACCCTATATGGTAGGACGCCCCTATAATACACAGTCACCCTATACTACACTGTCACCCTATAATATACAGACACCCTATACTACACAGTCACCCTATACTACACAGTCACCTTATACTACACAGTCACCCTATACTACACTGTCACCCTATACTACATTGTCACCCTATACTACACTGTCACCCTATAAAATACAGACACCCTATAATACACAGACACCCTATACTACACAGTCACCCTATACTACACTGTCACCCTATAATATACAGACACCCTATACTACACAGACACCCTATACTACATTGTCACCCTATACTACACTGTCACCCTATAATACACTGTCACCCTATACTACAGTCACCCTATACTACACAGTCACCCTATACTACACTGTCACCCTATAATATACAGACACCCTATACTATATACAGAGCCATCTGCACAGTCCACCTATCACAATCAGACGTTGATAAAATTTCAGAAAATAGTAAAATAATACCTTTTAAAAAAATTCATTTTGAATACTAAAACAAAAATAAAACATCTAGTTTAATTAAATGTGTTATTACTCATGGCACAAAAATATGAGTTTATTCTTTGTAATTACTAGTAAAAAAATAAATGTGCAGCAATGAAATTTAATACACAATTAAGAGCTCGGATCGAAATGGAATTATCTTTCATCCTCTGCTATCAAAGTAGGTTTCCATTAGCTTTTTTCAAGGTCATACCAGCCTAGCTTTAAATACATGTCCTATTAAGGCCTATTTGATCATAATTATTGAATTAAAGTCAAATTAAATGTGATATATAGATCAAAGGAAAAGACCCAACACATTTTCACTATTGTAAATGTCTTGCATAGTTACTGATATAGAATGGTCAGTACACATGCACCCCGTATTATAAAGTACATTATAGTGATACAAACCTTTTCTCGCCTATTATATGCATCCTTTGAGAGAGCAAAATGAAATTATTTAGGAGGTTTATGGCTCAACATTGAATTTGATCATCAGAAATATGTCTAGATTCAAAACAAAATCATGATGTGTTAATAAAAATAGGACAAATACTCTTATCAACTACTTGGAGCTTTTTTTTACTTTGTATGTATTTGTAATATTGAAATCATATTAGGAACCCCTTTAACAAAAACTGTAACTTTGTGAATTGAAAACTATTTTATTAAAGCTTTATTCAAGTATTTCAGAGATGAACCCATATCTTGTGGAAATTAAAAAAACACCTCAAGAGATCCCAAGGAGATCTTGATGCCTACCATCGTACCATCTTCATAGGTTCAATGTAAAGATTGATGTTTTTTCTATAATCACTGGGATATAGTCATGTAACAGTAAATGGTCCTCAGTCCTCCTGGTAACTTTTGATTAAAGCTTCATATTGCTGTGTATGACAATGTTCTTTCAAAGTCAGGTTGTCATTTGGCCTATTTACTAGTTCAGTACGCAATAGGAAACAAGGGGAACCTTGTGAAATTAGGAAAGATCTGTCAAGTACTTCTTTGGAAATAGTGACAACAAACTATTATTGTCATAATCCAAGATTGCTGCCTGGTGACCATTCTTGTTTTTCTAATCGGCTTCAAAATGACACATACACCTAAGAATCTATGAAAATCAAAATACGGAATTTGATAAAGATCTGTCCAGTGTTTCTTGAGAAATAGTGATAACAAAATTGAACTGTCAAAATTCAAGATGGCCATCCTGCTTTACTCTTCAACCCCAAAAATCAATATGCATAAGTAAAAACCATGGGGAACCTACATGTGAATTTTCAAAAACTTCCCTCCAGTACTTTCGAAGAATTAGCACTAAATAAACTTTAACTTTCAAAATTAAAGATGGTCACCTTAGCTGTCAAGGTTTTCCTATCAGTCCCAAAATTTGATATGCATAACTAGGAACCACAAAAAAACTCATGTGAAATTTGAGAAAGATTCAGTACTTTCTGAGGAAAAGCACTAACAAAGTTTTATTCTAAAAATTCAAGATGGCCATTTTTGACATGTGTAACTGGGAACCATGTACAGTCATGCGAAATTTGAAACAGATCCCTCTAGTACTCTCTGAGTAATAGCGCTAACAAGACTTGTTTAAGGATTGATGGATGATGGACCACAGTCAAAGGGTGATTTGAATAGTCTACCATCTGTGGGATGAATAAAGATAAAAAAAAGGCCAAAAAACTAACAACAGTCTTCTGGGAGTAAAATTGTGAAGTAACCAGATTCAATTCAATGAACCCTGTATCACATTATAATCATTCCAACCAACTGTGCTACCTCATCAGCAGTATTTATAGCTCAAGCAAAATTAAGGGGAGAAAACTGTTTATATATAAATCTACTATGGAGTTCTCCAGAGTTTTGCCTGAAGCAGGACAGACATCCTTAAGCTGTATTATTGTTAATGCTAAATTTGATGTGAACAGTGTATTTGTGTGTTAATTAAAATGTACAGACTTCTATTCACTGACACTCTGATACATCTAAATGGCCAAGATAACTTCTTAATATCCTTTTTAATATTAGCATTGCTCAGTGAACTGGTCCGAAGTGTGTGTATCAGCTTTAAAGCAAGACAAGTCAGTATGATCAAATCTGTAGGATTTTTTTGTTTTGTTAGCCACTTCTTAATTCAGAATCGACTTGACACCTGTATGGTCATGCAAGTTTAATTTCCACAGCACATTGCACGCCATCAATCCGGGAATTAAAGAACACCTATCGATCACTTATGTCACTATCAGTATCATTGGAGTGCTGGAGGACAATAGCCTAACATAAAACCCACGGATACCGGAATTCATTCAGATTACTAGCAAAGATGACACGCAAACTACAAATTACTTTTTTTCTCCATAGCTTACGTTTTTGCTCAGATTGAAGAACTTTGCTGTAAATGATAGCGGATAAGAATAACAATGTGGTCTCTGAAACTTACACTAGGAATCAATCAAATAATGAAAATAGTTCCCATCTGGAATCGTGTGATAGAAATATATCATGCATGGTCTACACAATCAGCTGTGTGAACAGGATAAGATTACTATCTTTCTCTAGGCTTTTTTCACTGGAACAATGAAATGAATTATTTGTTATGTTTGAACAAACATCGTGTCTGTCCACCTCCGTTTGATTGGGGGAGAAGGTCCCCTG